TGTATATAATTACGCGGTAATTGAGGTGCGTATTGTGAAGAGAATGTTATCGAGATGTTGAATCTTGAAAATGAAGTCTCTAAAGACTCGTTAATATGACAAGCTCGGTCTGATCGACAGCCGATTATACGCAATCTGCATATACATCATTTAACGTTCATATATATTATATATTATATATACTATACATAACATATTAATTTATATGTACCGAAGCTTTTATTTTTCTTTCCGCGTTCCTGCTATACGTGCTTGACTTTGATTTGCATTTCGAATTGCTGATCCTGTTATCGTTAAATGAAAACTTGATTTTTTTTTTAAGAAAATGATTTATTTAAATACACATACATATACTTTTAAATAAAATAACTTAATAATTTTAAAATAAACAAATAAAAACGTAAGTTAAAAAATATCAGTTACAACAATTAATGAAAAAGTGATAAGGAAAGTTGTTAACGAATATTGATAAACAGAGAAAGCACTGTTGTAGAATCCAGCTCCGTAGACTTGAAGACCGGCTGTTTCGATGCTCCGCTTGCAGTAGTCACCGTCTGAAATTAACATTCATAAATTAACTATTATTTCCATCTGTTATATATCTTATATGTTGTTCTGTAACACTACGTGATGTACTATTAATTAATCGTTTCTTCTCATGGTATCGCGGGTGTCGTAAATCAAAAAGATTTGCAAATACGTAAAAGATAAACAAATGTTATGTGTAATCGCTGATCCCATGAAAATTAGTTCATTGTTATTATTGTTTCTACATACTGGATTACGTTCTTCGAGAGGAGATACACGCTATTATTTATTGTTTCGAATGAGAAAATTTTTTTATATTTTTCAATATTTTTTGTTTGTTCCTTATTCGTCGCCAAAATTCATTCTCAGGCGTATTAATGGCGATAATTTTTAAAATATTGAATTTAGAAATATTTTATGAGACTAAAGTTAGAGGGAACTTAATTTACTTTCTACTTATTGGTGCGTTATTTAAAGCAATTCTACAAGTAGTTTGTTTACAATTTCAAAAATTACAAGTCTAATATTATATAAAATTTTTTGGCCATTATGTCGGTCTTTTTTAAAAATGGCTGCAACTTTTAAAATATTGAATTTAGCGAAAATTTGTAGAGAATTTAATTTTCTTTTTAATAGTGCCTCATTTGATGAATTTGTTCAACTAATTTCTGTATAGTCACAGAAATTACAATTATATACTGAAAAAAAAATTAACTTGATTCAAGAGAAAAATTCTTGGACCAAGATTATAATTTTTCAAGAGGGTAATTGTCTTGAATCAAAATGAAAAATTCTTGAATCAAGTAAAATTTCCTTAAGTCAAGAAAAATTTCCTCAAATCAAAAATATTAAGTTCTTCAAAATTATATATTTGATTCAAGAACATTTTTTTTTCTGTGTAATGATCAAAACTATATGTATATGATTAATCATAATTTAATTATATTAAATGAACTAAATATATGTATAACATCTGATTAATTATTGTGTAAAGTATTAGACTTAATTCTTAATTTTTATTAGCTTGCATAATATCTCAATTTATTAGTTAGCACTTTTAAGCTAAATTTTAATACAGGAATAGCTATCTATCATATTGTTAATGAATTAATTAATTAATCTGCATTTATTTTCTATTGTTTTCACTCTACTCTATGTAATATTTAGTATACTACTGTTCATATGTAAAATTATATGTATTAATGACCCTGTTATTGGCCTTTTGGCTGTTGGGTCTGTATTAATAAATAAATAAATAAATAAAAACTGTTTTTTTTTTTTTTTTTAAAGAATTATCTTCTAAGAATTGTAATTTTTAAAATATTGAATGCAGGAAAATTTTATGAGACAATATTTGTAAAGAATCAAATTTTCTAGCCAATGCCACCATAAGTAATCTAATTTTCCTATACATAAACCTCATAATAGACCATTATGATTTTATCTTTAAATAATATTTAATACATAGATTTTTGACCCGACTTCTACACAAAAAGAAAAATTTCTTGACTGAAGAACAAAATTTTTGGCTCAAGAAAATTTTCAGGTGCCTGAAGGAAGACCGAAGTTGTGTTAGCTGGAGTAAAAATTTTTCGAGAAATTCTATTCTTGGTGGAAGTAATTTTTTCTTAATTCAAATTATCATAAATACTTGATACAATAAATTTTTATATTTGATCAAGATTTTTAGATACTTTAGGGAAGCAGCGCCACTTACTTGAGCTGAGAAAAAAATTTTCTCACCTTGAGAAAATTTTTCTCTTGAATATTTAATACCCATTTTATATTATTTTAGCGTGCAATTATACATATTGAATGAAAAAAAATGATGAAATATTATTTGATCTTCCCATTTGACATATTGATCAATAAAAATATTAATGAAAATTTACTTCTATCTTTATATTTAATTTTTTGGAGCAAGAGAGAAATTTTCTCAAGACAAGAAAATTTACTTCTATCAAGAACTAAATTTTTTGGAGCAAGAGGCTGAATTTTCTCAAAACAAGATTTTCTTGACTTAAATAAATTTTCTTGGATCAAAATACGCATTTCTTAAAGCAAGAAAATTAATTTTGTTGGAATAAGCGAAAAATTTTTTTTCGCTCAAGAAAATAATTAGGAAGAAAAATATTTTCTTGGCTCAAGTGAACCTTTTTTTGTATACATTTATTATAACTTTTAAAATTCCAAGAGACAGAATTGAATAAAAATCCATGGGAAGCTATAAAAAAAATCCATAAACGTTAGACAAAAAAGAACAACTTGAATCCAGCGTATTCTTATATAGACCGCTGGAAGAGTAAATAAAAATTCTCAGTGGGTGTTTCGCGTTAAATATGTTACGTCGGAATAAATAAATAAATATATGTAAAGACTGAGTGTAGTGAGTTAAAGTGTGTCGTGAGAGCAAAACAAAGAGCAACCAGCCATGGAAATAAGAGCGACCTAAGACGTCGAACGTGTCTCACGATTCAACACACATACAAATGTACTTAACTATAAACAGGTACAGCTCAATACAGAAAAGACCAGACGCCTTGTGCACTGTTACATTACAGTATCTGTTTTTTTCTTTGTACTGAACCTAAAATCTTAATACATGCAAGCGGGAGGGTCGAAGGAATTTGTCGGTGTGTTAGATAGGACGTATCGGACGTATTAATATAATGTAATATGAATATGTACTGAGAAAGAATATCAGGTACCAGGTTGCAGTATGAGTATGGGGTTTTGTACTCTACTACTTACAACTCTTACGGTTCACTGTACCAGTACTAGAAACATGTACTAGTGCAATGCCGTCTACCGTCTACTATACAGCAATATAATGTTAATGTAAGAGGCTCCTTTCGCTCTCGTTACACCCATTTCGTAATAATACTCAATCCCACGGATTAGATATAATAGCGCCGGCATATCCCGGGATTCAGGATATTAAACCGATACAAATTATTGATAAACTATTTCGTGTTTATAATTTCATTGTAAAATCACTAAGTTCTGACGGGTGTCAAGCGATTTGGTTTATGTTTATTTTTTTTTTTGCTATTAGATTGCTTGATTATGGTTGTTATATGTTTGATAATTTGTTTTAGATTATTTATTTAATATTCTAGGAAATATCATTTTAATAAAATCATTATAATCATTTTAATAAAATTTTATGGGATTTAATTTTAAAGAAAGACTGTAATTGCTTCAAAAAATTGTTTTTGAAATTTATAAGAAAGTTTGATTATTTTTATAGATTGTTTTATAAATTGTTTTATGAAGATTAGAAAATTCATTAAAATTTTTTTTTTTTATTAAAATTTATATCATTTAATTTGAACTTCTTTTAGTGAAAAATTGATTTTGAAAAAAAAAATTTTCTTATGGTTTATATTTCATTTTTTTTACTTTGAGATCGCTTGATTATGTGGCTGTTATATGTTTGATAATTTGTTTTAGATTATCTATTCAATATTCCAGGAAATATCATTTAATAAAATTTAATGGGATTTAATTTTAAAGGAAGAAAGTAATTGCTTAGAAAAATCGTTTTTGAAATTTATGAGAAACTTTGATTATTTTTATAGAGAAAAAATTGTCGTATTAAGATTAGAAAATTCATTAAAATTTTTTTTATTAATTTAAAAATTATATGTGTTGAATTAAAAATGAATTTCAAAAAAATTTATATCATTTAATTTTGAACTTCAAGATTTTTTAATAAAAAATTAATTTTGAAAAAATAAAAAAAAAAATGTTCTTATTTAGAAAAATGACGAGTACTGCGACCTAGATCAGAAAATCCCGAGTTCAACGAGCCCCCATAACGCCTATTAACTTACAGTGCTTCTCAATGAAAAGCGCATTAATATTTTATTAATCAATTAATCGATTAATCGACCTGCCGCCGATCTGCTGCTGCGGGTACTCATTTTTCTCGTCATTTTTCGAGGATTACGAATTACAAACTTATTTTATCTTAAAAAAATTTTCTAATAACAATATTCGACAAAAACACTTAAAAAAATTTGTAGAAAAAATATTTTTGATTACTGTGTCGGTTTTGAGATATAATAATATTCTTACAATGTATGTAATTACGAGGTATATAATTGAGGTGCGTATTGTGGGTAGAATGGTCTATTCAGTATATTATAAGTTTCTCAAGTATTATAAAAAAAAGCGATTAGAAATTTAGAAATAAAAAAAATTAGCAGATCTGAGGCGTATGAAATCAAAGATCAGATGTTATTTAATATTAAATATTAATCTGAATATATATTACAAGGAAATCCGTTAGAGATCAATGATCAATAACATAAAACGGCCAGACATAATAAACCGGAAGATGTAAAGTTTTTATCCTTTCATTATTTTATTGTATGTAGTGGAAAGTAACTTTACATACATTTTATATTAATATTTATGGGCTGAATGATGTGATAATAATAAATATATAATAGTGTTATAATATATTAGTTGTTACCGTAAGACCAGCCGACGACTTCTCCGCTTCTGAGGTTTTCCGTTCTCAGCCAATCCTCCAGAGGCCTGAAGAATTCTCTTAGTGCGTCACCGTCCAATCTAAATTCACCGATCGCCTCTTGGAGTGTGTCCTGCCACGGTCTCGAGGATCCTTTCTCCATCAATCTTCTGCAAGTGAAAATCGGTCTATCTTATTTCATGTCAGATGTATTACTTCGAAGCATAAGTATCGCTCGAACTATTCTCGGGAACTAGCCCGTATACATATATGAGTCGCTCGAATTTTAAAATCCATCTACTTTCTAGTATATACTCTAGTATTATACCTGCTAATTTTTATTTTTTATGAATATAAAGTGACCGATGAGTCATTATTTTCCGCGCGTAGTTATAAGTATGCAAAGATTGTCATTTTAAGTTATTCCTGTAGATAAATTACTTTTTATTCACAAATGGCTTGGTTTTGTGAAATGTTTATTATAATTTGAAAAAAAGTTTTTTTTTTTTTAGAAATTTTCAGCCACTTTCCAATAACATTAAATTTGGTCCAAATTGTAGCGGAAAAAAAAAATAAAAATAACTAGCAACCTTGCAGTCACTATGTGACTGCCGTGGCTTGTAAGCTATAAATAAATAAAATTTTGCTTTATTAAATAATGATTTTTGTTAAATTGCACTGTACTTTCTTAAATATTGCAGTTTTTAAAGATATAAGCTCATCCCGGTGTTAAACTCATCAAGAGCTTTCATTTGAGTACCCACATGCATTTTGATAGATTTTTCATATATACATATATATAATACATATAAATATATGAAAAATTGATGTGGGTACTCAAATGAAAGGTCTTGATAACTGTAACATAAGTATGAGCTTATATCTTTAAAAATGTCAATAGTTCACAAGTTACAAGGTAATTTCTTACTTATGTATCTAGAGATAGAACATTTTCAAATGCAGCCTAAATACTTATCATCATAAATCGACTATTGGTGAGAATGATATAAAACCATGAAAAGGCATAACTCCAGGTCAAGACTTTTCCAACGATACCAAATTTAATCATAAAAACCCATTTTATCATATAAATACTCTTGCCACAAAATTTTACTTATTCTCTTAATAAATATGATGATCACAGTATTTTCGGTCATATTATTAGAATTAAAATTCCTTTTACAGCCGTGCTTTATTAAAAGCAATGGTACTAATAGTAGTTCCTTGAAAATTACGAAAATTACAAGTATCACGATCAAAATTTTTTTCATCATTATTATCATTATTTTCATTATAATCATTATTTATCAGACTGTTTTTCAAATGAGTATAACTTTTAAAATATTGATTTAACAAAAATTTAATAAGCAACCAAAAGTGTAGATAATAAAATTTCCTTTCAAATGATCACATTGCCCACTCGATTTCTTCTAGCAAATCACCGTCGCAAGACTTTCTTTAGACATTAATTAAACGTAAATTAACACGATTTCCATTCAATTAATTAAAAAAAAATCACTTAATCTATTATTTAATAGATCTAGAGTTTAATTGCAAATAAATGTTTTTTCAATTAAGTCTTTATATATCTCAAATAAATATTGCATCCGCTATAAACAAACGCTCTAATCATAATATGATATAACAGGATGTAAATGTGTAATAAATTAATCCCGCATTTTATTAATATATTTAGCTGCAGTTGATATAACAAATATATACATAAAGATTCTCGGCAAATAGATCAGTGTAAGTATTTGTTAAACAAATAATAATACCTCTCACGGTAAAAATATTGAATAATTTATAATGTACATTTATTATTTATTATTATTGTGTTAAGAGATTAAATAATAACAAGATGTAAGACGCAAGGTGCATGAAATGTGATGTAATAATTAAATATTGAGTGGATTGAGTGTTAAAAACTCCCGGAGAATTTATATACATACATAAAAGATTACTCTGAAAGGTCAAGTGTACGGTGGGTCACGTTATGCTAAGAATAATGCCTTCGGCTATAGATTAATCCTCAACTCAACATACCTAATACTTGATACCTGGTTCGGTAGAAAGTCTGATCTAGGATACTTGCCAGCAAATGAGATAATGTTCGTGTGAAGACTTTAAATAGATGTTCTTTGATATCGCCTATCAATTAATGTTTAATTTATCCGACAATTTAATATTAGTATGACCATTAAGTTGTCTTATAAATTAATAAAGACGCTGCCTAGAATGTCTTATTTATATTTATATTATATGTCTTATTTATATTTATATGTCTTAATTATATTTATTTGTTTAAATTACATTTCGTAAAACATCCAAATATTTATTGTCAATTTATATTGATATAAAATTGTATTTAATGGTAAGATTAATTCGTAAGATACATTTTTAGAAAAAACAATTTTATTTTTTATCAAAAAATTTATCAAAATAATTTTGAGCATTGTGTTTTTGATTTTGGCAATAATTTGGATAAGTTTGGGAGTTATTGGATTGTTTGTAGTGATATTTTGAAGAAAATTTAATCCTCTACAATTTTTAATTCTTAAATTTTTGTAAATTCAATGTTTTAGTAGTTACAGCTGCTTAAAAATAAGGTAATTATTTACAAGCGGGGTCAACCCTATTTTGGGCCTTAACTAGGTGAAAAATTAATATTTTCAATTTTTTTTTATTCTGCTTGTTTTTACGGCGGGTTTATAATAAAAAATGTCGTGAAAGAAAAAAATTAAGATTTCGATAGCTTTTTTGCCTTCAAAAGTTGGAAAAAATTTTGGCTCTCATATTTTTGGATAAAATTTCTATTTTATCTGTTTTTGATATATTTTTCTTTTGAAAAGTACATAAAAAAACAAACAATTAAAAAAAAAGTTGAATATCACAATTTTCTAAATAATTTATAAATTTTTTTGAAAATTTGTTAAAATTGTGATAATCAACTTTTTTTTTTACTTCATTTTTTTATGTGTTTTTCAAAAAATAAATATCAATAAAATCAAATAGAAATTTCGTTCAAAAAAATGAAAATTAAAATAATGATCCCACTTGTAAATATTTATCAAAAATAATCCTAAAGTATGACCAAAAAAATTTTTGATGATTTTACTTTCATTTTTCGCCATAACTTGAATATTTTTTAAAATAAAAAATCAAGTATGGTATTATTGTAAAGGAAATTTAATTTTTTACAACTTTGGTTCCTTATAAAATTTTTATAAATCCAAAATTTTATGTTATAGCTACTTGAGGGTAAAACTAAAGTATAATGAAGTAATAATGTAATGTAATAAGAAGAACACAATAAATTTTTGTATAAATAGTTTCAAGAAAAATTTCTAAGCCAAAAAAAAAATTCTTGATCAAAGAAAGTAATTTTAATTTGATAATATAAAAAAATTTTCTGAGAACATTCAACAAATAAGGAACCAATAGCCGATAAATAAAACGTAAAAGCACTGAGGAATGAATGGATTTGGTAACTTGATTGCTATTAACACCAGGAGTTTCTTAATCTTGTCTCGCGTCTAAAAATGTCATGGGGTGTAATTACCAGAATAATGGTTGCACTGATCAATCCTGAGATCAATCGTACCCGTGAGAACAGTGATCGGCGAATGCCAAGCGGGTGAAAAAGTTTTACGGAATGTTTTTACCAAATCCCCGGTGCAATTAATCGATCTTATAATTTCCGGTATGGAGATGGAGAGTAACAGCGAAATCGGGACTTTCCTGTCTGCCTTGCCGTCTAATTTCGCAACTCGGTGTAACTACGGGACTCTGAACCATTGATTGCATTACTAGCATCGCTGTAGTACACATATCGCCGTTTATGTTTATTCGTTACTTTTTTTATAAAAACAGTATAATTATTTTTTTATTCAAAACGACGTCAAGGATATTAGAAAGTCTATGTATATACGTCTTATCAATATCGATTGCTAAAAATCGGGTGTATTTTATTATTATTATTATTATTATTTTTATTTTTATTATTGCACGCCTCATATGCACCCCTACACTTGCCTTACAAAAATCAAGCGATTTCTTGAACTAAAATTGTCTCTATTTAATTTCTATCGCACTTGTAGAACAATATTTACACATAAATGTAATGGAAAAACACTAGTTTCAACACTTGTGACATTTTTCAAAGACATTTTGCTTTTTAAATAAATAAAAAAAATTATTCCGTGGACGTCCGGCTGTCAAATGTATGTATGGAAACTGGCGTGGTCACGACAACTCCCGAAAAACTTAACTGATCAAGTCCATTTATTTTTTCTACGCTTCAGTATGATTTAAAACCAAGTCCCTTCGAAGATCACGGTCTAATTCAATGTAGTTTATTTATAATTAGCAATAAACTAAAAATCCACTAATCGTTTGTATATCTATATCTATGTAAATAAGGTTCGTTTACAATACATGCGCAGTACCTTTTCTTTTTCTGGGTGGACAATGGCGCGAAAGATTTAAAAGTACTTGTATTTTATTTTAATCAATTTTATTATGGAAAATGAGATTATAAGGTGTGTACTTTTGGATTTTCCAAACTTTTTTTTTATTTATTGGATGAATGAACAAATGAATGAATAGGAAATTAAAATCAGAATAAGTAGAAGCCAATACACATATGTTGTATTGATAGACCTTTTTTTCGATCATCAATGTGATAGGCTTTCGCAATAATACATAATAGTACGTTTGTAACATAGAACCGTAACTGGCGAGAGTTTACCACAGTTGAGGATCGGATCGCTTACAAACACTCACACACTCACATATGGACTTGATAATGTACTAAGTTTTAACTTTGTTAACTTAGGTTGTTGACTACAGGAAAACATGTGTGTATTTTGCAAGAGAGTGTAAGTGCCTGTGTATTTATAAGCTGGCAAGATTTGCGACCAAAGCATAGAATTTTAGTGATATCATGAATTTTCTTTCGCTTTAATGCACTGACGAGTAATCGGTCTGTTATGTACGATATGCACGGGAGTGTTATGTTTGCTGGATGGAAACTTTTTTTTTTTTTACTTTAGGTTTCTTTTCCTCCAGATCAGCGAGAGTTGTTACGTCTTTTTTAAATATTAATATTTCATGTGTGCTATTAGTTATTACCCGGCGTAATAACTGTCATTTTTTTATTATTTTTATTATGTGAGACTAGACATTTTTCATTTTCTTTGTTATGTGAGGAGAATTTGTTCCTTTTTTTATGGGCTACATAATCATTTTTTTTTATAATAATATTTAGCTTTTTTTTTAAAGATTTTTACGAGCCTCAGCCCACAACGCGATCAATATATAATATATTTGACATTATTATTAGAAGAAAAAAATTTTGAGTATTTAATTTTAGTTACACTTTTCCGATAAAATAAAAATGAAGAATCTTGTATTATTTTTTGTCCCTTAAAAAAAGGAGAATTTTTATTACAAAAATATTCGCTTGATTTTTTTATAAAAAAATAGAAAAATTTCGTCGTGAATTTTTTTATTTAGTAATTATTTAGCTAATTGTCAAATTTATCCGACAATTTAATATTAGTATGACCATTAAGTTGTCTTATAAATTAATAAAGACGCTGCCTAGAATGTCTTATTTATATTTATTTGTTTAAATTACATTTCGTAAAACATCCAAATATTTATTGTCAATTTATATTGATATAAAATTGTATTTAATGGTAAGATTAATTCGTAAGATAAATTTTTGGAAAAAAAAATTTTATTTTTTATAAAAAATTTATCAAAATAATTTTGAGCATTGTGTTTTTGATTTTGGCAATAATTTGGATAAGTTTTGGAGTTATTGGATTGTTTGTAGTGATATTTTGAAGAAAATTTAATCCTCTACAATTTTTAATTCTTAAATTTTTGTAAATTCAATGTTTTAGTAGTTACAGCTGCTTAAAAATAAGGTAATTATTTACAAGCGGGGTCAACCCTATTTTGGGCCTTAACTAGGTGAAAAATTAATATTTTCAATTTTTTTTTATTCTGCTTGTTTTTACGGCGGGTTTATAATAAAAAATGTCGTGAAAGAAAAAAATTAAGATTTCGATAGCTTTTTTGCCTTCAAAAGTTGGAAAAAATTTTGGCTCTCATATTTTTGGATAAAATTTCTATTTTATCTGTTTTTGATATATTTTTCTTTTGAAAAGTACATAAAAAAACAAACAATTAAAAAAAAGTTGAATATCACAATTTTCTAAATAATTTATAAATTTTTTTGAAAATTTGTTAAAATTGTGATAATCAACTTTTTTTTTTACTTCATTTTTTTATGTATTTTTCAAAAAATAAATATCAATAAAATCAAATAGAAATTTCGTTCAAAAAAATGAAAATTAAAATAATGACCCCACTTGTAAATAAATATGTATCAAAAATAATCCTAAAGTATGACCAAAAAAATTTTTGATTATTTTACTTTTATTTTTCGCGATAACTTGAATATTTTTTAAAATAAAATATCAAGTATGGTATTATTGTAAAGGAAATTTAATTTTTTACAACTTTGGTTCCTTATAAAATTTTTATAAATCCAAAATTTTATGTTATAGCTACTTGAGGGTAAAACTAAAATATAATGAAGTTATAATATAATGTAATATGAAGAACACTATAAATTTTTTGTATAAATAGTTGCAAGAAAAATTTCTAAGCCAAAAAAAAAATTCTTGATCAAAGAAAATAATTTTAATTTGATAATATAAAAAAATTTCTGAGAACATTCAACAAATAAGGAACCAATAGCCGATAAATAAAACTTAAAAGCACCGAAATCAATTAGAAGTTTCGTTCAAAAAAACGACCCTTGTAAATATTTACTTTTTATTTTTTCTAAAACTGTGTACGAAAATTTTTTAACTACCCTATGTCTACCGAATTAGTCACTCTCAATCTATCCGCTAGTGACTGGATGCTTGAAACCATGATCAGAAATTAACGACAACAAAAGTTGAGCCATTAAATATTTAGTACGGATAGTTAAACTCTTATCTCGAGTAGGATTATCCGGTGATTGCTGTCTAGTCAGTGTACGATGCACATATAAACCTCAGCTCCGGTCAATATAAAATCCAATAACAGAAGATAATGTCAGTACAACAACAAATGTAACTTGTAGTGTGTTTTCTTCTCTACAATGTTACTAATACGGCATTTACAGCTTCGTGTATGAATATATAACAAGTATATGTATTTAAGACTGAAATATATGTATACAGAACGGCTCGTTGCATCACTTATGATCGTCCCGAGACGAATAAGGTTAACACGCTGTTTTTAATTATCAATTGAAATAGTACTGAAAAAATAATTTTTTAAATTTGCATTTATAATTATTAAACAAGAATTTTTTTTAATAATTATGTTTATTAATTTCAGTGTCAATATATTTTTTTTTTTTAACTATATTTTATATTTAATTAATAATTTTGGAAATTGTGTAATTTTTTGTATAATTATTTAAATAATAAAAAAAAGATTTGTATGACAGAAAAAAAAATTTCTTAAATAAATAAATTACTAATTAATATCGATTTTTATTAATTAATCTATTTGCGACGAGAAAGTGACGATTCTGGGTAAAAGTGAAACGTCAGAATAAATAAATTAAGTATTATATATTTTTGTTACTCACATTGACATTCATTCAGATGCAAATTTTAAAATTTAATTGATAAAACAACTTTATATTAGGACGAATAAAAATGTACATTTTTTTATTGAATGTAAAGCTTACGATCAACGAAGAGATGTTACGATAAAGTGGATGTTAATTACACAATGAAATGTACCATGCAGTGAAATAATTATTTTATATTAGCATAAATCGAGGATTTATATAAATATGTATGCACATTAATACATATATATGTTTATATTTAGTTTACCAAAGTTAATACGTTTCGATGTCGAGGACTTGCTAGTCGTTCTAGTTTCCTCTCACTTGCATTCTGTTTAAAACTGAGTTACGTGGTACATTTCACATTTATGTTATAATACGTCATTTGTGTCCTTACAACAGCCTTCTTTATATTCTTTCTATTACTATTATATGTATGTTTTATATTTATATATATCAACATCAGCATGTGTGTCTCTATTTTTATTTTCATTTAAACGAGTTACACTTTCTTTCTAACAAAAAAATTCATTTAGACGAGACTTTATTTCCGAATAAAATTTAACATTTAAAATTCTCAAAATTGAAATTTTTTTTTTTTATAATTTTATTTTTTGTTAATGGGTATTGAAAATATTAGAATTAAAAAAAAAATTCTTTAGTTTCTAATTATATTTAAAAACTAAAACGAATATACTTTATACACGTTGAAGAAATAAGATGCAATCACGGCTCTTGTGTATTATGTAAATTTATTTCCCATAGAAAAACGAGGTGAGCGACTTGACTGCTTTTTTACGAAGGAACGTTTTTTTTTATTGTTTGCTGCATCTGTACTGACTATTTTCCCACCTCATTTCTTCATATTTATAATCATCAGTTATTTATTTTAGCGATTATGATGATTATTATTATTTAATAATTATATTAATAATATAATGTTAATATTATACATTAATTATAATATTAATAAATTAATATTATTTAATAATAATAATAATAATAATAATAATATAAATATAAATAATAATAATCGACACCTAGTGTTAAAATTTATTATTATTAATAAATTTTATCAAAAAATGATTGATAAAATTATTATTTAATAATTATATTAATAATATAATATTAATATTATATATGAATTATAATATTAATTAATTAATATTATTTAATAAAAGTAAATAATAATAATAATAATAATAATAATCTGCACCTAGTCTTAAAATTTATTATTATTAATAAATTTGATTAAAAAATGATTAATAAAATTATTATTTGTATTATTATTGTTATTATCATTATTTAATAATTATTTTAATAAATCAATATTATTTAATAAAAGTTAATAATAATAATAATAATCTGCACATAGTCTTAAAATTTATTATTGTTAATAAATTTTATCAAAAAATGATTGATAAAATTATTATTTAATAATTATATTAATAATATAATATTAATATTATATATGAATTATAATATTAATTAATTAATATTATTTAATAAAAGTAAATAATAATAATAATAATAATAATAATCTGCACCTAGTCTTAAAATTTATTATTATTAATAAATTTGATTAAAAAATGATTAATAAAATTATTATTATTATTTTTTTAAATAAAATTTTTAAATCGTATTCAAAACAGATATACTTAAAATTTTATAATAACAACAAATATAAAAAAAACTTACGCTAAAACACGTCCAGCCTGAGGACTTCTGTAAAAATCGCACTTATGAAGCGGTCGCCTAGGATCATTGGGTGACCGCTGACCTGCGGCTTGGCATAGACCTCGATAAAGTTGAAACTGCAATACCCCAGCCACAAAGTTCCTGCAAAAACAAAATAAATAATATCTATCAATATCGATTTAAAATTTCACTTTATTTATATTTCAACAGCAAATAAAATTTATAATTTTCAATTTCTCAAATAAAACAAACCAAATTTGATAATACCTTACTGAATTTAAGTGAAAGCAATTACTTAAAAATTTATGTGAAAAGACATCATCACACTTTGAGTTGATTACATCGAATTATCGCATCATATCCATATCCAGTTTGAGTGATCCTTAACAAGCATATCCTCACCAAATAAAAATTTCTCTTGGAATATCAAAATTTATGTAATCATTATTTAAAACTTAGCTCACTCAACAATTTACAATTAAATATAAGTACTCTTTAATATCATATCATAAAATACAAGTAAAGTTACAGCATTAGGACGTAGGAGTGTTACCGCGAAACGGAATGATCGATAATAAAATATCCGCAATGACCAGTTTGTTGTCATGATTGTTGGCAGTATCAAAGTATAAATAATCCTTCGAACAATTCCTACTACATACAAAATAACACATGTAAAAGTCTTGAAAAAAAAAAAAAAAAAGTAAACAACATCACGGACCGTGGGGGTACGTCGTATTAGCGTCCGGGTGAATAAGTTGGGGGGCAGCAGTCCCGACTGGGCCTCCTCAACGAAGGCGAAAGTGTGCCGTGTATATAAGGCCCATAACTACTGGCAATCAGCATCCAGTTCACTCCTGGACTCACCCGGACACATTAACTAAATCCAATATGAAGTATTTGGTACGTACACACTTACTCAGACACACACACCAAACCTCAGACCTATACAATTTCGTGAAGTGATAGTAAAGTGCCCTAAAGTAAAATAAGTTAATTAATAAAATATTTCGGTTAATGTTACAGTTAGTGTTGGGCCTTTTGGCGTCAGCGGCATTTGCCGAAGAAAAGAAAGTTGAGGAAAAGACGTCAGCCGCCGAGGAACCATCCTCCAAGAAGAACGAAAAGCGTGGTATCCTGGGCTTGGGATACGGGTACGGTTACGACGTAGGTGGCTACGAAATCGGTGCCGGACACGGACACGATCACGGACACGGACACGGACACGAAGGGTTCCACCACCTGAACCACTTCGATTTCGACCACTTTGACGGATACGGTGGTGGATATCACGGTGAACATCATGTTAAGCACGTCACAGTGGTGAAAAACGTTCCGGTTCCGTACCCGGTGGAGAAACACATTCCATACCCAGTGGAGAAGCACGTCCCTTACCCAGTTAAGGTTCCGGTTCCGCAGCCCTACCCAGTTGAGAAACACGTCCCTTACCCGGTCAAGGTGTACGTCAAGGTTCCAGTTCACGTGCCCCAGCCCTACCCGGTTGAAAAGAAGATCCATGTTCCGGTGCACGTTCCAGTAGACAGACCTTACCCCGTCAAGGTCCTCGTTCCTCAACCTTACCCAGTAGAGAAACACATCCCCTACCCAGTAAAGGTTCCAGTTCCCCAACCCTACCCAGTTGAGAAGAAGATCCATGTTCCAGTGCATGTTCCAGTTCACGTTCCCCAACCTTACCCAGTTGAGAAGATCGTCCACGTTCCTTACAAGGTCCACGTTGACAGACCCTACCCAGTTCCAGTTCCCAAACCTTACCCAGTCCACGTTGAAAAGAAGGTCCCCTACCCCGTTGACAGGCCAGTTCCTTACCCAGTTAAGGTTCCAGTCGACAGACCAGTCCCTTACCCGGTAGAGAAACACGTTCCTTACCCAGTTAAGGTCCATGTTCCAGCGCCCTACCCGGTTGAGAAGCACATCCCATACCCCGTTGAGAAACCTGTTCCTTACGCTGTTAAGGTTCCAGTCGACAGGCCCTACCCGGTCCACATTGAGAAGCACGTTCCAGTTCCAGTGGAGAAGCCTGTTCCTTACCCCGTTAAAGTTCCATACCCCGTTCCGGTTCATCATCACGAACATCATGATCATCATGAACACCACCAGTTCCCGGAACATCATGGGTATGAACATTATGAACACCACGGGGGATTCGAACATGATTATCACCACTAGAACGCCGAACCGGTTTATAATTTAATTATTATTATTATTTAATTAGGTTTTTGATAATTGGTTCGCGCGTTTTACAACGGTTACCTGAAAATAATATTTTATAATTTATATATATTAATGGTTTTTTTTTTTTACAAGTATTTGTCAGTTACCAGCGACTTTTTTTATTGATATTAATATTAATATTATTGAGGATAAATTATAAATATTATTGTAATTATTATTTTGTAATGATAGTGAATAATATGAGATTGTTAAATAAGAAATTTTGAGTTTTATTTTTTAGTCTTAAGGTTGTTTTTTAAGAATAATTAATTGCGGGAAAAAAATGGGGAGTTATTTTAAGAATTGTAGATGATTCTGAAGATATTTGAAGAAACATAAAATAAAAGTAAGTTTTTTTTTTAAATAATTTATAAATTAGTTGATCAATTAGCTTAAGAACTTGTATACGCTTTTTTGGTTGAAAAATTACATTAAATGCTATGAAAAAAATAAAAATCAATTAATTGAAAATTTTTAAATAAATTGATTTTCTTTGCAATAATTTTGGTATTTTTTTTTGTTTTTTGACTTTTTACACGGAAAAAACAAGATGACACAAGATCATCTTGGATAGTAGCTAGTATAATCCAGATTACACTGAGTATAATCCAGATATCACTGAGCATAATCTGGGATGATATCCCGTGTCATCTTGTTTCTTTTTCCGTGTGCTGAAAAAAATAAAAATAAAAAATTTTGATATTTTTTTTTGTTTTTTGACTTTCTATTAAAAAAAAAAAAAATTAAAAATTTATTCAGTTTGCAAACATTAAAATTCTCTTTACCGATTAATCTTTTGTTTGTTGACCTAGTGAATTGTAAACTGGCAGTACAAGTGAAATTGCTGGCACGTATTATTAAAAAACATGATTTGCTTACATATCCTACATTTGATCTATTGAATTTATTCATTTCAAGTAAAATTTGTAATTGATAAAAGAAATAAAAGTCCTGAAAAAAATTAATAGATCCAAGAATGAGGATACATATTTTTAGCATAGATTAAAAAAATATAAAAAATCTCGGTAGAGAAATTCTATTTTATTTATGTTTTCGTTTTATTGGAGAGCGACTTTAAGTGTGAATTATGTAATGTCGTAATTCAAGCAAATGGATGCAATAACACACATCGATAAACCAAGATGCGAAAGTAAGAGTTGTCTAGTCTGCGGTTAATAGGCAAACATTATTATTATTATTATTATATATATATATATATATTTACTGGATGAAATTAATCGCATATATCGAGCTGTCAAAACAGTGACACAATATTTTTTTAAGGATGTTATTCAATAGATTTTAATTATCTTGTCGTTGGTTGATTAACTATTAACTCTTAACTCAGTGATTTATCATTGAGTTGACGTTAAGAAAATAATTATTTATTTAACTTTCTCAAAACATTAACACCGTGTGGAAATATTTTTTCATTAAAGCTCAAATAGTCTTCAGCATTGCAAATTGCTAAATAAAAAATATTATTTAAAGTTTTGCAATAATCAAAGTATGACAACCGTGTGAAACTATTATTAAAATACTTGTATTAATAATTATTATTTTTGACGTGGTTCCATGGGTGGCTGTGCATCGTGTGACACTAGTTTAATGTGCAATAGTAATAGTTATCCCTCGTAATTTCCACCCACAACGATAAGCCGTACCGTATTGCAAATTATTACAACCTACGAGTGTGTCACTGTATTACTGTTTCTATTGAAAGGAAAATAAAAAAATAGGCCGGCGGACTTTCTCATGACATGGATATGCCCAAACAAAACAATAGATTTCACAATTTTTTACCTATAGCTTCTTGGTATTTACTTTGTAAACAAACAAATAATCAATTATAAAATAATATAATAACATAATAATAATTAATCATAAATAATATCAAATTTACTGTTATTGTTCGGCGTTATATTATCATTATTCAATGTCGGATTACGTTTCTTCTTAGTATAGTAAGAGTAAAAAATTAAGTACGCTTGAAATTGAAAGTGAGAGGGATTTCTTACGGTCGAACTAAAGCGCCATTATTACGCAGTGACGAGTTCCTGAAGTTTTTGAACTTATCGCTGCAGACAAGGCAGACTTCTGTACTCAGAAGGAAGTCAGTAATCCTTAATATGAAGGATTAATTACAATTATTTGATTATTAATCGGTAGGAACTCTAGTGAGACGGATAATGCTCGTTATTTTTATACTAATACTTTGAGATAAAAATTTTGGATTTTAAGTGTTCGTGAAAAAAATTTTCTATTGAATGGGAAGATATGCCATATAAGGCTTGATACGGCTCGATTTAAACCTGATCATTTCAAGTTATATTTAAAAACAACTAATACATTTTTTTTTCAATCTTTATAATTAAGGGAACAAGAAAATTTTTGTCTCCGGCGTATTTATATGCTAAAAAGCGTTTTTTGAAGTTAAATTTAGTAAAATTAAAAAGATCTTGACCTTAATTTGTGCCTTTTAAAAATTGAATTGAATTTATTGATTTATGCCAAAGCCTTCACTGGCCAGATGGCAAAAGAAAAATATACATTTTGTGAATACAATACATATTTAAATTTTTAATTTAAACATAATTATTAGAACTAATTATACATAATAAAATATGAGTAAAAGTAATATTGCTTATAAACGAATTTTGAAGAAACAGTTTAAGTGAAAATTAAAACTAATAGTTTACAATATTTATGACTATGATTTTAAAGATTTTAATTTTAATAATTTTAATGATTTAACTAAAAATTTAGTTTGAATTTAGATGTCTAGAATTAAAAAGGTAATCATAAAGCTTATTTTTTAAAATTTCTATACTGGGCGCATTTATCACATCGATTGGTAATTTTTAAGAGTATCATATGGTTAAATAAAATAAATTTTGTAATTGACTTACTTTTATTTTAAAAACGATTTTTATAGTTAAATTTTATAGAATTAGAAAAGTTCTGACGTAAATTTGCGTCTTTCACTATTAATGATTTTATATAATATAGCAATCCTGTTTATTTTTTAATAACTTAATTACTGACTCTAAAAAAAGCGTCATCGTTTTTTGCAATCCTCGGTACTATAAATTCAGAAGAGGATTACACGGAAAAAAAAATTTTCGCTCTGGAAGCTATCCAGTGGGTCGTGAACGTAGTATCGTGATGAGTACAAAATCATTTCACTATTTTTATCAGCTTCGAATCCTTATTAATACGATTCAAGTGTATCGTAAATTTGTCAATAGCAAGTGATTATTCCCAACCAAGTTCTTAATTAAATTACTCGTGAATGTTTATTGGGACGAATAAAAAATTATTTATTTATTGATTTAATGTATACTAACAGCATATTATTTTATAAATGACCATTATTTTTAAAGCAAAATTGTTACAAATATAAAATTAATTATTTATGAAATATCTATACATATACGTAGGACTCGGAAGAATTTTACACCGAGGAAACACTATCGTGACTAAAGAGATACAGACGTACGATGACCGGATCTATGTGCATCATGATCATCGTGATACAGTGCATTGAACATATTTGCATATAAAGTGTAATCTCATAAGTATCGTGATAATCATGATAGTGTTTAGTGATGAAAGCGATATTTTTTCTCCGTATAGTTTTGTTATGTTGATTATTTATTTATTTATTTATTTGGAAAAATATGCCAAGGCAATTGCCGAATGGCAAGTTTTATACAAAGAATAATTTTGTATACCATAGTAATATATTTACATAGTATCACGTAAGAAATTTAAAGAGCAACAATATTTGTACATAATTTGAAATACAATAACTAGATTAATTAAACAATTTAGCAATTTAACAACTAGGATATTTTAAGTAATACATAACAGTTTGATAAATTTTAAATTTGATTAATCATAAACAACGCATTTATAGAGAAATTTTTAGAAAGATAATGAAAGATTAGTGATCTTTAAGTTCAAGTTCTAGCAAATAGCCAGACATTTTGTTTTTAAAAATTTCTAGACTCTGAGAATTTATAACTTCAATTGGTAAGTCTTTCCACAAACGAATAGTTAAGACAATAAAGGAATGTTCATAGCTTGTTGTGACATAATTTGGTGTCTTGAAGGTGACATTATTTTGTTTTGCAGCTATTCTATCAGACCGTCTAATACTTGAATCTTCTTCGATGAACATCTCCCTTAGGTATTTCGGCTGCCCTGAGTCAAGTAGCTTATAAAAATAACAAGCTAAGAAGTATTTTTGAAGTGTGGATAAAATTTTTCAAATTCGACAAAGAAATTGTTTAAAAGATCACCTTGTGGCCTTCTATAAATCGAAGATACAAACACATGAGTATTTGAAGGTAAAGTAATGTCGAGCAGTATAAATTCAGGATTGTTTAGTAGATTTACTTCTGAAATGTAAAGTACTTTTGATTTTAATGAATTTTGAATGAAGCAGGCTACACCACCACCCCTGACGTAACGACCAGAATTGTCAATAAGTCCTCGATCACGGCGAATGATAGTATAATAATCTTTTAGTGAGATAAAGATGTTAGGATTTAGCCAGGTCTCAATATATGGCTTAATTTCTGCAACCAAGAGTTCGAATTTTGCAGAATGAGCTTGATAACTATTAATATTTAATGTGAGAAGTTTAAGAGTAGTCATATCAGAGGTGTGATGTTCAATTAATGGCTATTCAAGTTTGTCTAGATCGTACTCTGATCTTATTTGAATTTTTTCAGTGTCATCGTCCTTTTTGACATAAATTGTACTTTTTTAGACCCAAGCATATTTGTACTTTAATGCTCTAACTTTAGCCTTAGCAAGATTTAACAATTTATACGTATCAGCATGTAAGAACTCATTTATAAATATTTGTCCTTGTGTTTGTGTGTTAAAGATATTTTTTGCAAATAGTTTGTTAGAACGACGCTTGACTTCAACAATATAATCTCGGACTTGTGTAGACTTCATAAGTCGTTTAGAATAAACGAATATGAAGCTTGATTTAAACCTGTCCCGCTGGGCTTTCTTTTACTTCTTAGTGTTCTAATATTTAGAACATCATTTTCAAGATTTGCAATATTCAATTTGTCGAAAATTTGGTGAACAATTTCGACTGATGATGAATCTGAGGTGACCTGATCTGGAATTCCTGAAATCAGAAGCTCCGAAGTATGTAAATTTCTAGATACAACAGGTAAGCTATGATCAGTTCCAATTGAATCAAGTGCGGATTTCAAAACAGCAATTTGGGCCGCATTTTCTGCACTTGATTTAGAATTTGTTGCTACTTTGTCATTGAGCTTAAGATTAATTATGAGATTCGATTTCAAAGATACTGACAAGATATAAGTATCAAGACCTCTCCATAAAACCCTATTTCTTTATGAATGTACTTAATTAAGGCACAGTGATGTTTTAAGTTACAAAATTTATGAATACTCAGGAAACTAAATTTCCCAAATAAAATTTCGTATTAATAGTATTTATATAAATTATTGATTTATAATTTTGGTGTAAAAATTAGCCTTATCATATTTGATATGGTCAAATACGTTTATATATAATTTTTTGATCAAAGACAATAATAAAAATTTCCGACCAAGGGTACTGGGTCACAAAATTGTCTCCTTACATTTTTAGGAGAATTACTTTTTATTTTTGTTTTCTTTAACGGAGAAAATTTACCCTTAAATCAAGAATTTTTTTTTCTGTGCGACTAGATCAATTAATTCATATCAGAAAATTTTTTTCATGGGGTTAATTTCCTATTGAATGCACTATTTATATTATTAATAATGGGATAATTTAAAAATTTCGTAGTAAAAAAATAAATTAAACGTTTAATCAATAGATTATGTTCAATTTTTCCCAATTGCAGTATTTACAATAAGATTCAGAAAATAAATATCGTGTGTTTAAGAGCATTTAACTTTCGTGCTAGTACTTGAGAAAAGTGTATCTATTCACTTTCAACAACAATTATCTACAACACCACCGTAAATATTAATGCATACTTACTCTTCTGAAGAGGCGTAATATAACGAATAAAAAGAGTTCATGGACCCGAAATCGTCAATGTATTGCGCCGAAGCGAAATTAAGAAAGCGATCTTCCCGAGCAGTGCCCGTGAAATGCATCCATCAATTAGCGATATCATTATTATATACATATAAATGCAGAAATATAGAAAAAAGTAAGTACAATGCGTGCATGTATATACTTATCCGCCTGTGGGAGATGACACACTTGTACAAGCGAGCGTATTAAATAGAGGAAAAACGCGAATCGGTACCAGTTATTCTCACCGATCTAAACCGATCGTTTACAATTCTGTTGTTATTTATATAAAAATAATTTTTATTATTTATTTATTTTTGTGTCACTAAGCTGCCGATTATTGGCCTGTTTGCGACGTCATGGGACACGTGGTGAGACTGTGATTGGATTAATGATAATTAATTAATTACTGATCGTATCGATCAACATTTGAGGTTTTTTTTAAACACTCTGGAAGTTTACACGGTGCATTTTTTCGACAGATTCACGTGACCTTGACAATCATGGTTTATTGCGTTGTTGCTGCTGCGTCTAAGGCCACGCGGTACAGCTACAAAAATCCGGTCCTTGATTGTGGATACCTTCAGATTACACCCGAGGAAAAATACTCTTGGGAGTCGCCTAATTTTTATCACTATCGCACTATCGATCCCGAAGATGTCAGAGATCCTTCTATTGGTAATATTTATTTGTGATATTTGTTTTTTATAAACACTACTAACAAATATTTATTTTAAAAAATTGTGAAAAAACTTTTTGATCTTCCCTGATATGAAAATCAGACACTTAAGGCCTCTTATGCCCATATATAAATTTTTTATTAAAGATAGTTCAAAATAATTCCAACAGATGGCACACGATTGCTGAATCGTCTCGTTGCAAGAGAGTTAAATCTAAGAATTTAAGACAAAAACATGAAGAGAATTTTTATTATCCGTCTAAAGAGCTTATACTGTTGAAAATTTGTGGAGTGAATGTAAAATAGATGATTTTTAATTTATTTAATTTTTATAGAGTGAAATTTAATCCGAGAATAATTTTATTTATATTGTTTATTAAAAAAACTTTAAAAAGTGAATTTTTTTTCTTTAAAGAAGAAAAAAAATAGTCGTTATTCGCTTTAAACTTCACTTAAACTGTAAATTTACTTCAAACGCGGAGTATTTTATTTTTTCATTCTGATCCTTTGATTGATGCACTGAAAAAAAAAGTTTTTTTTCTACCTAGGAAATTTTTTCTTGTGGATAAAAAATTAGTATTCTTATGATTAGAATACGAAAGTTTTTTAACTATATAAATTTTTCTGACTCAAAAAACTGACCTTACAATAAAACGTGGTATTTTAAGGTTAAGAAAACCAGTGTTTTTAAATCAAGAAAACTCAAGAAAAAAATTTAGTATCCTAGGTGAAAAAAATTTTTTGTCAGTGTAAGAGTGTAAATTCACTTGAATTTACTTCTGATTTTGTATCTGATATTTTTTTTTAGTTTAATCAATTTTGCCTAATACGTCACAAAAATTGGATTCTATTATACAATAGTATTTTAAGTACATAAGAACTCTATAGCACTTAATATGTTAATGTATAACAGTGTCCAATTGAAGTAACTATTTTCTAGAAAATATATCAAAAAAATCCAAAACTACCGAATAAACTTATGTCAAAGTAAATTAAATTATATGGAGCCATATCAGAAAATTTTTTTAGGTCCCGTTAAAACTACAAGAATTTTCAGATTTCAGCTACTTTTTACATTATCGGAAAAATCTGAAATGCTTTTTAGAACACGTTAAAATATAAATTTCTTTTCTTTTAAAAGTTTTTCTTGCTATTTTAAATAAAGAAACTCAATCTTGCTAATGTAGAAAGTTATTTAAAATACAAGAAAAAAACGAAATCATTTTTAATTTTTGAGTATTTATCTTCAATTAAAAATTTTATCGTGAGCCAAACGATTGAATAAAAAAAATAAAAATTTTTCATGTAGATTTTTCCATAACTAAAATTTTATTTATCAATTTTCTTTCCAATAATTCTTCAATAACAATTTCACTAATCAATTATTCAAACAATCAATTATTCCTATTAAATTTGCACGCTAAACTTTTTCTCGAGCAATTATCAAGAAAGTGTTACTCCTATCACTCCCAAAGACATTGAAGCAAACAAACCTCTAAACTATCAACAACATTCTCTCCAAGAAAAACAAATAACTTCCAATAAATTTCTGTCTAGGAGTACTGAAAAAGGAATACTCCAAGAACTACATCTCAAAGCGGCAGTCAATGGACTTGAGCGTGCTGTCAGACCGGATGTCCGTGGACACCGATTCCAGTGGATCACTCTCAGAGGACCTAACATTGACCCACCCTACGGACAACATCGCAGAATCAAGCGACTTCGAGCCACGAGCTTTTGAAGATTCAAAGTTCCCCGAAATTCATGAACACGAGCACGAGAAAGTAATCACCGTGGTGAAGAACGTAGCAGTTCCGTACCCAGTTGAGAAGGAAGTCCACTACCCAGTGATCAAGAAAGTTCCCTATCCAGTCCACACTCCAGTGGCCCAGCCGTACCCTGTTGAGAAGGAGGTTCTTTATCCAGTAAAAGTCGTCATAAAAATTCCCACCAAAGTTCCGTACCCCGTTCCGGTCTACAAAGAAGTGCCCTACGCAGTCCAAGTTCCAGTGGAACGGAGAATTCCCTACAGAACTTATATCCCAGAGCCTTACCCAGTTGAGAAAAAGGTTTATTACGAGAACAAAATCCCCGTTCCGGAACCTTATCCAATCGAAAAAACCATTCCGGTGCCTATAAAGATTCCTATTGCCGTTCCGCAGCCGATTCCAGTCGAGAAAACGGTGCCCTATCCTGTTGAGGTCAAGGTAGACAGGCCTATTCCCGTTCCTGTTCCCAAACCCTACCCAGTTCCGGTCTATAAGCACGTTCCTTATCCGGTCTACAAGCCTAAACCTGTTCCAGTTGAGGTTAATGTCGAAAGACCAGTTCCTTATGAGGTTGTTAAGCACGTTCCTTATCCTGTTGAGGTCAAAGAACCTGAATTCTACCCAGTTGAAAAGGAAGTTCCCTATTCGGAGGAAGAACACAAGTCCTATTCGGTTCCTGCTCCTGAAGAACCGGCTCCTATTAAAGAAGCTACTGATGAAGAAGAGAGTCTCTTTGAAAATAGCTATAAGGCTGAGGGTTGTTGCCAGGATAATTTTAAGCCTAGTGCTGTTGATAATTATGAAACTGAATACAAATATGGCGAAAGGAATGACAACGATCATGATAAATTGATCCATTCTGATGAAGTTTTGGAGAAACAGAAGGAAGATGTTAAGCCTGTTTATGAAGTTACTAAGGAGCATCGACAAGATGGCGGTAGAGACAAAATGGCTGGCGCAGATGGCGTTCCAGGCGCCACGGACTCTAAAGAAGTTATCTCGAAGGAGAATAATGAGAAGATTAATGAAATTGATGGAAATAATAATAAAAATAGTAAAAAAGTTAAACGGCTTAGGAAAATAATTAAGAGAATCAAAAGTTATGATGGCGAAAATGGAAAAGAGAAAGGAAATTAGTTAGCGGAAATAGAGCAAAATATGTCGATTACTAGAGCAATAAAAATTATTAATTTATGTTTTTATTATTGTACTATTGCGATTGATATTGAGAATGTAGAATTTCTTTATTGTTAGAGTCTAGTCATGGAAATAATTGTTCTATAAATTTTTTTGTTTTCCCCTGGTTATATTGTTATTATTTTTAATTTTATACTGTTTGTATTGAGGTTATTTTTATTGATATAAGAAAGTTTTATGAAGAGTTTAATGTTTATGTTATTGTTTATTTTGTATTTTTATATACGGTGCCGAATGCAATAAATAGTATATGGTTTTTTGTAACTTATTGTATTGTTTCTGTGAATGGTTGCAATTGTGACCATGATCAGTAGATTTTTATATTTGGAGCTGTTATTAAGTTAATGGCTCGGGATTGTCGGCATTTAGCTAACGAGGCATTTGTTTAATGGGAGTTTTTTTCTGGAAAGCGAAAGCCTGAGAGGTATAAATATTTGTTGACGGTTTATATTCGGTATTTAGTTTACTTTGTCAGAGTTTGAAGAACTGGTTTGTTATTGTTGGGATTTTCAACAATGAACCATAGTAATTTAGTAAGTATATTTTAATTTTCTTTAATTTTCCATTAAATTAAAATCAATTCAATTTTTTAACAAGAAAAATTGACAATAAATAAGGACAGAACGCGAAAATTTAGTTTTAATAAATCAAATTTGATATAAAATTTAAAAACTTAACTTTTAAAAAAAATTATAAGCCTATTATTTATTTACTGAATTTTTTAAATAAAAAATCAGATAAGAACTTTTGAATTAACCCACTAACTTCATTTAATAATAACATTTTATGTTAAATATTTTATAAAGTCATTTTTGATACAAACGAAAATAAAATTAAAAATTTTGGGTATAGTTTTTTAGTCAATTTTCCGTTAATTTCTATTATAAAATTATAATCTATATAATAACAGCAATTATTTTGTGATTTATATCTAAACGAAATTGCTCTTGAATTATAATCAATATGAAAACTTGAAATTAAATTAGATATTATCATTTATTTTCTAGTAAATATTCTTCAAATATTATAATTAATCCTTCTAATCTGTCATTACCATATTAAAAATGTTTACTTATTTATTTAAAATTTAAATAATTTCGTAAAATATAAACAATAAATTTTACGATACAAATCTAAAAAATATTCCTTAGAATTATCATTAATTTAATGAATTTTTTTCGATTAATTTTAAAACATTTTCCGTGGGAATTGATATGAGAAAAATACTTGTATTGGGTCAATCTAAACGTTGAACGCTTATGTCATACGTGCATTAATCAAAGTAAAGTTTAAATATACAAGTTTTCACAAATAATCTTATAATATCTTTAATTTTTTAATAATTTGATATCCAACCTCGATAGAAATAAAAACAATTATCTATTGTGTACTACAAGAATAAATTAAAAAAAATAATTTTAATAAGTTAATTTCATAAACTCAATTTCATAATTCTTCTAAATATTTCTGCGGATAACATTTCTTCATACGAGTTTAACGCCCTCTTTTGTTCTGATGCGCATCATGAAAAAAGAACTAATTACAAGACTATATTACCGGCGGTCAACTAGCGAAACAATGGAGTGTATATTAGTATAAGCTGTCTTCAAGCTGTATTTAAAAATACATTTTTTTTATAAATGACGGCTGAAAGGATAGAATATTTCTCCAATTGCCAGCCGAAAAAAATTTAATTATAATTAAATAAAACAATATTAAACTGCAATTTTCATTTTATAACTTTCTATCAACCAAATGAAGAGATTTAATAGTAAATTAAGCTGAAAAATAGATTTTTCTTTAAGTTATGGTGTTATCCCTTCATAAAGACTTAAAAAATATACACCATCAGCAATCAAATCCACTTTTTTATGTAAATATGGCAATGAATCAATTAAAAAAAATTTTCTAAGTTTAGCGATCATTTTTTTTGCTGCAATTTTAATTCAAGAACTTTTCATAAACCAGACGAGAAGATTGGAACACACTGGGGGTCATTTTGACCCAAGAATTTTTTTTATTCTAAATTTTTCTCAAAAATAGGTTCGTTTTTAATTAATTTTTTCGACTTTAAAAACTATTTAATTCAGAATAATAAAGATTTTATTTAAAAGAGCATTGTTTTACCTACCAAAGATATAATAACCTGAATTCCGATAAAATTTATAGTTTCTGAGATATAATTAAAGAAGATATAGTTAAAGAATAAATTGAGTTGAAAAATTGATTTTTTTGAATATTATCGTGTTTAGCCCTTCATATCGACGGTCTAATTAGTAATTGTTCTAACTGCTTATTTTTTAGAGGGTGATTTTTTAATATTTTGATGTAGTAATAGTCCAATTATAAATTATTTGAATGATCCCAACCAAAATATTATGCCTCTATTAAATATTGAATGGTTTTTTAAAGTGATAATAAATTTTGAACTAATTGTATTTTCGTACAAATGGAAGATTCTCTGAAATGTAGTTAGACAATTTGCTAATTAGAACGTCGATATGCCTTCTGTATGAATTATTATATCTACAATATGACTGTCAGGTACGACTTAATGTGACAAAACGTTGGGATCTTAATTTTCTGGCGATAATTGAACATCGTTCGCTCTTAAAGCATGCAATAATATCATCAAAGTCAAATAATAAATTTGAAGATAGAATTGAAAAAGAAAATAATTTTTTGAACCATTATTAATTAGAGATTAATTTTAAAAATATTAAACAAAATTAAAGGCAGTTAAAAATTGATGTTATTTAAATTAAGCAGATAATAAATTGAATAATTGATGTAATAACTAAAACTGATAATTAAATCTGGCAATTAGGTTCTGCAAGTGGTCGGAGCAGTAATCCTGTGTCTGAGCATCGCATTGACTGGTTCCGCTAGTCGGAAGGAGGAACTCGAGCGAGCTGCTGAACTGGCGGTGGAACGCGCTGCCGAGAGAGTGGCCGAGAGGGCCGTCGAGAAGGCGCTCGAAAGTGGTAACTCCTCGACCGAGACCGAGACCATTCGTGTGTCGCACTCCAGCGTAAGGAAACAGGATAAAAGTTGGAAACTTCCGGGTTTCGTTTACACGCCGCAGCAGCGTCACGACTTTGAGCGAATTGCTAAAGAGCACGAGGCCGCAGAATTAGCCGCCAAGCAAATAAAACAAGCCAGCAGATTTTATAGGAGTGTTGTCGAGGATCCTTCGAGTTCTGATAACTACCACCTACAAAATTATAACCACAATAATAATAATAATAATAATAATAATAATAATAATAATAACAATCATGATTATAAACAACCACAGATTGACTTCAATGCTTTTCCGTTCCGATCAACGCCACTACAGTTTGGCGGTCAATATCGATACGCCCCGGCGATCGATAACGAGAAAGTAATTATAGGAAAAACAGGTTTTTCTCAACATCACTCCCCGGTAAAACCGGTGCTCGAGTTCGCTGAGACAATTAAAGAAGAAACTAATTTTAATGGTTACAATCGTCCAGTGGAACATTTCAAAGTTACGCAAAAAAGTTATCCTGTTATGTATTACTTTTATCCACATAAGACTTATCCTCTAAATGTCAGATATCTTATGCCGCTTCACGCTATTATAAGTCATATTAATGAAAAGAAAAGTCAAGAACTTTTTTGATTAATTTTTACAAGTAAAAATTAAGTAATTCTTTGAAAGTGGAGTCCATTTTTTATAATTAAAAAAAAAATATCTTAAAAATTTTCGAGTTTTTTATCTTTTTTAAAATTTAGAAGAGCAATCATCAAATTAGTAAGAAATAAATTTTTAGAACACTGAAAAAAAAATTAATTTGATTCAAGAAAAAAATTCTTGAACCTAGAACATAATTTTAAAGAATTATATTGTCTTGAATTAATATTTAGGATAAGAGAAAAAATTATTAAACAGAGAGTTAATTATTTTTTATAAAGGATGTATGAAAAAAAACTTTATAACTTTATAACTTTGTAAAACACAATAATTGTGATACAAATAAAACTTATTTATATTGTCTTGAATTAAGACAAAAAATTTTCGAATTAAGTAAAATTTACTTAAACCAAGAAAAATTTCTTAGTTTAAAAATTTTTCAACTCAAATCAAGAACATAAAATTCTTCGAAATTATTTACTTGAATCAAGTAAAGTTTTTTTGCTGTACATTCTTTTTTAATGTAAGAAATAATTGCAAAAAAATTTTTTTCTATCGATAAAAAAAACTTGGTCAATTTTTTTTAATTGTTTTATTTTTGATAAGCATTAAAAAAATAAATATGATTGCTCAAAAAAAATTCTAAAAATTATTTTTATAAATTAAACTATTATAAACTTTACTTCCAAATAATTACAAAAAATTGTTATAAAATATTTATACATTTTTTATAATTTATACGCTTTTGATAATAAAGTTATTTTTTACAAAATAAACATTCCTGATCATTTGACGTTTTATAATAATAATTACTGCATATGAAAATTTTTTTTGGGTATCAATTTTCTAATTTTTTAATTTAAAAAAACATTTCTTCTACAATAAAAATTTAATAGTAAAGTTTGAATGCAAAAACTTGAAAAATCAAGCTTTATTAGTAAAAAAACTGTACTGAGGGCGTGACAAAGAGAAGTTGCTAAGGTGCTAGCAAAAGGGGAGTGGCTAACGCGCATCGCTAGGCAACAGTTGCTATAGAAGCTGTCAGGGGGCGTGTCTTAAATTTACTGCCAAGTATTCTTATTAAAAAAAAAACTTTTTAATATCTAATAATTAATATATAAATATGAACTTTTATTATTCATCAGAAAGTTATCATATATCATTCATATGAATCAAAAAAAAAAATAATTTCTTTCCATTTAAAGCTACATAATAAATGTTTACATCAATAAAGTCAGACTTGACCGAGTAAAAGGTGTGTCTGTCTAAAATAATTTATATTTCGCTTCCTATTAATAAAAACCAATACATATTCATAAAATTAATAAGCATATACAGATGAAAAACGATAGTCCGGAAATTCTTGTTTATTATCCCGTTGAACAGGTCTCTTCCTTCCAGTTTTAGTTCCTATACACACAACTATCCCTTTCACTCGGTAATTTACCGATACTTAAAGCCGAATTAAGCCCAAAATTGAAATAATCCGTCCTAAGACGTGAAATGACATAAAAAATCTCCTTAGCGTTAATTTACGACTCATGTAATGCCTCCTTCGTTACTCAATAGTCAGACGGAAGTGGACAAAGAGTGCTTTATCATCGCGATCTAATCGAAAGTAACAACTGCCAAGTGCCCAAGGAGTATCACGTCATTCTGAGTTTTAAATTGCACTTTCACTACAAACCATCTCTCTACTACACGGTAAACACACAATGTAATGTAATACAAAAGCAATACTGGTCGCGATTTCCAGCCCAGAAGTTTCTATCTTTGCCAAATTTTAAAAATTCCCGAACCTCGTCAATAACTCTTACAGCTCTATCCTTACTCAGAAAAAAAGGTTCACTTGAGCCAAGAAAATATTTTTAAGTCAAATAAATCTTGTTGTTTTGAGAAAATTCAACCTCTTGCTCCAAAAAATTTAGTTCTTGATAGAAGTAAATTTTCTTGTCTTGAGAAAATTTCTCTCTTGCTCCAAAAAATTAAATATAAAGATAGAAGTAAATTTTCATTAATATTTTTATTGATTAACATGTCAAATGGAAAGACCAAATAATATTTCATGATTTTTTTTCATTCAATATGTATAATTGCACGCTAAAATAATATAAAATTGGTATCAAATATTCAAGAGAAAAATTTTTTCAAGGTGAGAAAATTTTTTTCTCAGCTGAAGTAGGTGGCGCTGCTTCCCTAAAGTATCTAAAAATCTTGATCAAATATAAAAATTTATTGTATCAAGTATTTTTGATAATTTGAATTAAGAAAAAATTACTTCCACCATGAATAGAATTTCAAAAAAAATTTTTACTTTGGCTAACACAACTTCGGTCTTCCTTCAGGCACCCGAAAATTGAGCCAAGAATTTTGTTCTCCAGTCAGGAAATTTTTCTTTCTGTGTACTCACCAATCACTGGTTTTACTTGGGCGTCTTTAAATAAAAAGTAACAATTCCTGATTAATATTTATTCCTTCCTCTTATAGAGATAAAAAACCGGAAATGTTTGCCTGGAATATAAACCGATAAATCAACTTCTTTTGGGAACAACGCACGGATTAACAATTTATATGCTTATTAATAATTTAATTATTCAACCGATCAGCTAAGGGGCGCTAATCGCTCAAGGAAGTCGCTGTTCTAAGAACGCGAGGCAACAGATTGATGATGAGTCGATTAATTACTCCACATATGTATGTGTGTGTGTGTGTATTTTTTTGTATTTTCTATTACAATAGTGCCTTTACTTATACTAATACTATACGGGGTACGTTCTTAAATGTGCTGTTATCACGTGTTGCTAGCACGCATAAGAGCAAGTGTTTCACTTTCAACAAAACCGGCCTACCAACGCCACTAGGATATTCCGGAGTATAGAGGGGAAAGCTGTACTTGAGTATATAAATCCATTCTATCCGGGGGGAATTATTCCAGTAAACTCTGGACAGCGATAATATTACAATACTCATTTCATCATGAGGATTTCGGTAAGTTCTTAGTTTTTTTTAGCTTTGAATTTTACCAAATTTTACTCATTTTTATTCAAAGTGACATTGAATTTTTATTTGAAGATTAAAGTGACTTTTTTTTTATTTATTATTTTTTAAACTGATATTTAGAGATGTACAGTGTTCGGAAATTTTGTAGACTAAATTTAAGTTTTAAATAATAGGATATTTTGGCAAATGTGGATATGCAAAATATTCGGAATTAATTACGGAATTTTTTAATAATATTAAAAATAATTATTCGTTTTATTTCAAAATGTGTGTTATTATAATTTGTAAATAACAAAATTATTAAAAAACTTTTTTTAAACGTGTTGTATAAAATAAATTATAAAAAAAAAATTATCTTAACTAACTTTTATAAATAAATAAAATTTGCTTTATTAAGTAATGACTTTTGTTAAATTGCACTGTACTTTCTTAACTATTGACGTTTTTAAAGATATAAGCTCATCCCGATGTTACACTCATCAAGAACTTTCATTTGAGTACCCACATGGCATTTTAGTATATTTTTCATATATTCATATATATAAATATATAAAATATATGAAAAATTGATGTGGGTACTCAAATGAAAGGTCTTGATGAGTGTAACATCAGGATGAGCTTATATCTTTAAAAACAACAATATTTCACAAGATACAAGGTCATTTCTTAATTATCTACCTAGAGATATTGCATTTTCGAATCTAGTCTAAATACTTATCATTATAAATTGACTATTAATGAAAATGATATAAAACCTTGAAAAGGCACAACTCAGGTCAAGACTTTTCCAACGATACTAAATTTAACCATAAAAATCTATTTTGCTTATTTTCTTAATAATCTAGATTTATTTCTTGCTAACAATATTTTCTAAACTTAACCAAACTTTCAGTTGGCACTACTAGCGTTGCTGCTATCAGGCAGCGTAACCTGCAAAGAAGCAGACTCAGAAGCCGCGGAAACAAAATCCGTGGAAGAATCTTCAACTGTCGAGAAGAAACAAGAAAAGCGAGGCCTCTACCACTCAGAGGGTAACTACGGAGGTGGATATGAAGGTCTCTTCATGAGCACCGGTTTCGAGGGCTACGAAGGGCACTCCCATGAGGACCACTACCCTCACCACCACCACGAGGAGCACAAAGTAAAGGAAATTGTTATAGAGAAGAAGGTCAAGGTACCTTACCCAGTAGAGAAGAAAGTTCACTACCCCGTGGAGAAAGAAGTGCCTTATCCAGTCGAAAAGAAGGTTCCTGTGCCCTACGCAGTAGAAAAAAAAATCCCCGTTCCATACAAAGTGTACGTTAAAGTTCCAGTGCATATTCCCGCCCCATATCCAGTTGAAAAGAAGGTCCACTACCCAGTCCACGTTCCAGTGGAACGGCCAGTTCCCTACAAAGTCTACGTGCCAGCACCCTACCCCGTAGAGAAAAAGGTCCACTACCCCGTGAAAGTTCCAGTTCCACAACCGTTCCCCGTCGAGAAACACATCCCAGTGCCTGTGAAGGTCCACGTTCCATACCCCCAGCCATACCCAGTCGAAAAAAAGATCCCAGTGCCTGTAAAGGTTCATGTTGACAGGCCCGTTCCAGTTCCTGTCATCAAACCTTACCCGGTTCCAGTCGAGAAAAAGGTTCCCTATCCAGTAGAACATCCAGTTCCCTACCCCGTAAAGGTCCACGTTGAAAGGCCGGTTCCCTACACAGTAGAAAAAAAGGTTCCCTACCCAGTCAAGGTCCCCGTTCCAGCGCCCTACCCAGTTGAGAAAAAGGTTCCAGTTCCGGTTGAGAAACCTGTTCCTTACCCGGTCAAGGTTCCCTACGACCGCCCCGTTCCAGTTCATGTTACCAAACATGTTCCTTATGAAGTTACCAAACACGTTCCCTACCCGGTCAAGGTTCCAGTTCCATACAAGGTGGAACATCACGAACATCACGAACACCATGAACACCACGAAGCGGAACACGGCCATGATTTCGGAGGACATGATTTTGGAGAGCATGGGGATTTTGGAGGGCATAATTTCGAGTCCCATCATGGTTATTAAGCTTCGTAAATTTAGGTAGTTATTATTCGTTTTTATGAAAATTGTTTTGTATATCTTTTGTATGAAAATAAAAACCAAAGAAGAAAAATTGTTATTAATTTTTTGTAGTTTTGTATTTTTTTTTTTTTAGTGACACCGTCAACGGATTTTTTTTTTTTTAGAAGTGTCTACACAGAAAAAACAAGATGACACTGGATATCATCTCAGATTATACTACACAGTAAAAAATTTTGCGTTATTGCGTCAAAAAATTTTGTGTTAAATATTCAACACTTTTATGTGTAAATTTAACATTTATTGTGTTAAATGAACACAAAAAAGTGTTAAATATTTAACATAAAATTTTTTTACTGTGTACGTGATATCTAGATTATACTCATTGTAATCTGGATTATACTAGCTACTATCTGAAATTTTTTTTCACCGCAGATATCACTGAGTATAATCTGGGATGATATTCAGTGTCATCTTGGACTTTCCGTACATGAATAGACATGTCTTTTTTTTTACATAAAAAAATACAAATTCAAATTTTTGAAAAAATTTTTCTTAATTATTGCATTTTTGATCAACTTTAAGAAAAAATAGGGTAGAAATACCTTTTTTGGCTACCTTAGCATCATTTTTGGCCAGTTAACTCTTGAATTAATTTATCAAAAATTATAACCATATTTTTGCTGAGTTTTAAAAAATTTATATTAAAACAAATTGAGTTTGTAATGGTTTATTAATAGAAATTCATTTCTATCGTGTATTTGAACAATAAATGGCCAGAAACGATACTTTTACCCCATATAATTGTTACCGAAAAATTCTCAGTATAATTTCGATGAATAAAGGTATTGATGACCGTGAAACTAGACAATAAATTTAGTTTTAAGTTTTATTATCCACAAATTTCTGATCTTTGAGAGGACAAACTTAGTCGGACGCAATTTTATCGTTGTCCTTTAATGGTTCTGCTGTAAAATAAAATTATTAATCTAAAGAAAAGACTCACCGAACATAGGGAACATTTGCAGGAATATGATACTTGGCTCCGGGATCAAAATCGTCTTCGGACCTCAAAACAGGAGGTTTAATTCCCGCGTAAACTTCCATCATGCGATGCCAATGGCAATTGAACTCCTCGCGGTTGACAATTCCGCGAAAAACGTCATACCGCCAGCGGTCGACGGCAATGCTGAAGGGCAGAAGCGGAAGCTTTTCCATGGCCAAGGAAAACAAGTAGTTTATGTCTGCTGCTGGTTCATCAATGTACTTATTGGCCAATCCGAGGGTCTGCAAGTGGCGTGGCGAGCCCACGCTAAGAGCAACAGCTTCTCCGACGGCTTCGTGGAAACCTAAAGCAATTAGATAAATATAAATAATTGGTGATCTAGAATATTCGTGTGTAAGTAATTGATAGTATGTGCTCTTAATTAAGAGCCGCAATTATGCCGGAAGACTTCCTGGAGTAATAATGTGTGGGTTTACTGCTGTGCTGTTATTCTCGTGTTCCGGTACGGAATCCATCCGCGAGAGTGAAAGTGCGATAATTATATCGCGTAATATGGGATCTAACGCACGCATATATACTTTTATTTATTAGTTACTTTTTTGTTAGTTAGAGTAATTAAATGTCACGGCTGGATGATTAATAAGCTGGTGAGAAGAAGTCAATTCCGGTTTGCCATTTTAGATATTCAATTATACTTTCTGATTATCAACATTTTAATTTTCGTTTATTTATTCATCTACTGGAGGGAGATTATTGTATAATCATCCATCGAGAGTTTTAGTTGTGAGTATGTGATGTTTACGATTAGTCATTTTACTCGAAGCGTGACGCTTTCAATTCGACCAGACTTTGTAGGTAAAAGGTTGTTTATCTTCCGGTTTAACTTTATTTTATTGTCAGGCAATTTACGTGATCGTTCAGTAATTTATAAATTCGACTTTTGCAACGAAGTGGTTTTTTAAATTATTCCAAGTGAAACTGAAACTTTTGGTGACGTTAACGTAAACTATTATGCAAAAAGTATCATTTTAATTTATAAATTACACTGTTCTATGCAAATGTTCTAAATAATTGATGAGGTTATGTTATACAACACTTTTTTTTAATATTGTTAGTGAAATTAAGAGTATTTTTGATATTCTATAATAAAATTAAGATGAAAAATATGTATTGCAAACTATTCGTAACGTGATTGGTCAAATATATCATAAGCATGAAAATATATGCAAACTCTATATTCAGGCGCGCTTGCGCGCGCAAGATATGCTAGTCAAAGTAATGTAACTTCTGATGTAAGAAGTATAATTTTAATTAATTAATTATACTGAAACATTAAATTATTCTAAATAATTGATGAAAAGTTATGTCATAAGTCATAACAATTTTTTTTTTATTAGTGTAAGTATAAAATTTAAAGTATTTGTGACGCTAATCTAACTTTTGATGCAAAAGGCATAATTTAAATTAATGATTCGGGAATTAATGATTGTAATCTTTGTGCAATTTTTACAATTATATCAAACCTTAAATTCTTTGTGAAGTTAACTGTCGCTAATTTCACAAAAGTATTAAATTTGATAAATAATGTAAATAACTAAGAAGTTATGTTGGAGAAAATTTTAACCCTCACCTGGATTGGCGCCATCTCGGAACTCCCGTGGCAAGTTACTGTAGTGCAAGAAATACTGTATGTGCGCCATTTCGTGGTGAACTGTTATTAAGTCCTTCATGGTGACTTTGGTACACATTTTTATTCTAAAAAAATTAAAAATAATTAATTATATGATTCATATGACTTATAACGTAACTAATTTTAAAAATTCTAAGTCCTACCTGTAGTCCAGGCGGTTGCAAAAGTCCCAAGCGGAAGGCTGACAAATCAATGGCCGATCACCAGGGTCAACTATGATACTTCCTGCCCAAAATTCTGGAGGCATCGCACTCAGGTTGAGTGAGAGGTAGAACTCTTCTCCTACTCGGAACATATCTATTGGAGTGTATCCCTGTAAAAATATTATAGTTATTATTAGTTATAAGGTTTGTAAAAATTAAAAAAAAACATCTAAGAAGACTTTTAGTATCATGGTTAAAATTCTTACCTGAGCTTGCATTTCTTCTGTAACGTCCATGTAATATTTTCCAGGATATGGTGTCGTGAAATCAAGGAGGTTCGTCCATGATTGTCCCCATACATTTCCTGTGAATAAATAATATCAAAAAATTAAAAATACTAAGAAGATATTTTTAAATAATTTTATTCACATTTTTTTTTTCATTTCTTCATGTAAAGTTTTTTTTTTTAATTTACTTGGCAATAATTTATTAATTGAAAAAATTCATAGAAATTATGAAATATTTGCTAACTTTATTATAAATTGGGTACCCAATTTCTTGAATAGTGTGCAAATTTTGATAATAATTAATAATAAATTCAAACTTACCCAGGATATGAGCAGGAAGGGGAGTATGACCACCAATTCTTTCTGGACCATAACGATCACGGAGCTTCTTCCTGATGTATGCATGAAGTTCCTCGTATAGCGGTCGAACGCTGTTCCAAACTTCATCAATATCTTGCTGGAAGTCCGGGGATTCGTAGGGGAACATCCAGTACTCGGCAGCGTCGGTGAAGTCTGGAGTTAATTAAATATTTATTGTTTTTAAAAATTTATTGAGTTGTAAAATTATATCATTTTTTTTATAAGTTATTTTATGTTTCTCTTTTTGACTCACTGTTTAATCTGGCGACTTCATTATTTAAGAAGATTAATTGAGTGTACAGGTCACGGATTTGCGAGCCGCTGCGACGTCGCCATTCCACCCACACCCACTGTAATTCATCCCAGTCTCTGCTTTTCGCCATTATTTTCGATATTTCTAGGAAGAAATATTTTAAATTAAATTTATGAATAATGAATCATTTTTAATTATTCATTTATGTTATTGAAAAGTTATTTAATAAGCGAAGTAATATTGGAAAATTTTCATAAATAATTAATTTTATTGGCTAGTTTGTAAAATACTAAAATTAAGTGATTTAAATTCTATTGAAAATTAAAACGAATGCTTAAGTACATTGTTATTCGCTTATTATTAATCATCATTCAAATTAGCGTTTTAAATGCGTAATTGTTGTTACTTATTCTAGGTTATGCTTTTTATGGCGTAAGTTTATGTAAATTTGATGACGGAGTGGATGTTATTGATGTGTAATGTTGCAGAAACAGTAAACTTAAATCTAACTATGAAAAAAAATAACTAATTGATTCAAGGAAAATATTATTATTTTGAAAATTTCTCTCTTAGTTCGAATTATTTCTTTTAATAAAAGAAATTCAATAGTAAACAATTTTACCAATTGAACCATCCATGTTACTATTATTATACAATATAATCTATATTTCATTAATGAAAATTAATTTAGCAAATATTTAATAATTTTTTTAACAAATAAATTGAAGCAAAAAGAAATTAGAAAAAAAGGTATAGAGAAATAAAAAAAAATAAAAAATGCAATTTTTTAAAAATTAGTTTTTGGAACAAATTTGTATTTAAAAAAATAACTGACTGCTAATTTTAATGTCATGTTTCATCCAACATTAAAAATGATCAAAAATTAGTCAAATACTTTTCAGAATGGGTTCAAGTTTAATATTTTGAATGAAGAAAATTTTCATTTAAATTGAACCTTATTGAAGAATATAAAATTCATAGGCGCGCAGTAGCCTATCGGATCCGGCCCTTGCTACCAAAGCATTGGACCGGGTTCGAATCCGGCGTACACCAATGAATATTTTCAATATTTAAGTGTATATTATTCTGCTCAGCCCAAGAAATACAAACGAGTTCCAATCTCAAAAGTGTACCCCCTACCGTAGTCGCTCATGACCTTAGTAGTTTATGCGACTTTAAACAAATTAAAAAAAAAAATTATCATAAATTTTGGAAAATAATATTTTTTGATATTAAATTTAATTGTATTTTACAAAAATCATACTCTTGATCTTTATAAATATAAAATTCCGCGAAGAAAAGAAGTTTTAAGGTTAGAAACTCTTCAAAATAATTTTTTTGGATTCAGAATAATCCTTTTTGAATTTAGTAATTTTTTTTTTTTCAGTGTATAAACTTAACTTTTTTATTGTTTCAATGAATTTACTCAAAAATTTTAAGAACATTATATTTTGCTGAACAAAGTTGAGGTTATAATGCTTTCTATAAACACTTGTCAGCGTAACTACAACCATACTATATTATAATTATTATTCAAATCTACTGAAATCAGTAATAGTGTAGTCAGCAAATATTTGACAATTTTTTAACTAAAAAAAATCGTAAGAAAAATTCTACATCCTTTATTAAAAATTTGATGAGAAGTTTTCATTGTTGTCGCTTTTCGTTGCTATGGTGACCACTTTGCCAACGATCACCATAGCAACGGTTAAATATTAATGAGTAAAATTTGTAAAAACATTAATTAATTAAATTGTCGATAATAAACATTTTGACAAAAACGCGCAAAGCGCGTTCGATGTTTTAGTTTCTTAAATCTGAACACAACTAATCGTTAATTATTTGAGGTTATACTCTAGAATTTTTCTACCCCTCAAAAAACAAAGATTTGAATCAAAAACAATGTTATAAATGACTATTATTAGTAAAAACAAAGACTAATAATAAATTTTACCTGGATAGAGTCTAAGTCCGCATCTAAACGGATCATTGTGCGCACAAATGGTCGCCGAATTATAGATGGCCAACATGTCGTTTATCAGTCGGTTGTACTGGAAGAAAAATTACAAAAATCAGATCATTTAAGAGAAAGTTCTAATCCTAATACAATATTATAAATTATAAATAAATAATTATAAGATTAATACAAAAACAATAAAGTAACTGAGCCTACGCATAATCTAAAGATCTTGTCACGCTTGAGTGCGTCACGCGTTATAAAACATTCTATTACTACAAGGTATAACCTATAACAAAACTCCACCTTACAACTCCCATCTCCATTATACTATTTCCATTCTTTTTAAAAAAATACAACTGCTGCGTGTTTTCTCATCAATTGTATAAGTAATTGCTAACTTTTTATTTACTTTTTAAATCTTTTATCTCCATTACAATAATTTCGAATTCACAGAAAATAAATCCAACTAAAATGTCTCATATTTTGTTCAAACGTTTCTCTTTTATTTTATTTTATAAAAACTCAAAGAGATTTGTATTTCTATTTACTTTATTTATTTAACTATTAAATCCTAGGTGAGGTTCTGCATTTTAAAACGCTTACACTATCATGACAATAAATTGCGCAATTGGGTGCTTAATATTACCACCCGGGTAGTAAATCACTCAGAAGCTCCCCGGTGAGGTAACAATACAGACTTTTGTTAAATAAAAGTTAATTTTAAAAAATTAATTACGCTAAAACCAAACAAAAGTGCTAATTGAAAGCCCAGTTTTAATTTTTATAAAAACTGAAAATTATTCTGTAACTTTTAATTAAGCATTTAAAATTAATTGAATGAAATCTAGCAGGGAAATGACCTGCTCAAGGTAAAGAGTCACCATCAGTGTCAGTTGCGGGAAGGGGATTTCTTGTATTTCTTATGACCTAGTTTTGCGGTTACATGGTTTAACCTTGGTTACACCGCGGCGTTTTGTTGCATCGCTGGGAATGTTTTAATATAATAGATAATGGATAACGTTTGCTATTGGTGTTTTCGATGTTGATGTTGATGTTGGCTGCTTATGTTATTGATGAGTTCTGGGGAAGATTTATGGGTTACTTACCCTGTCTAATTGGTCGAGAGGAAGAGCAGCTGGTCCAACTATTGCCAAATATCTCAGCCGTCTTTGTAAAACAGGATCGATCAATTAATGTTTGCCGTGAGCGTTTAAAGCATTCACATTTGAATTACCCAATATTTGTTTTAATTTATTTTTTTAATATCCGGTGCTGTATAAAAACAATAAAGCTTACAATTTTTCAATAATTCTTTAACTTTATACTCGATGAAACAGTATTCGCAGTAACCTTTTCAAATCAAAAAGTAGTTGATTAAACAGCCGAATAAAGTTTTTCACCCCAGTGGTTTTTATAATCTTCATATATCCAAAAGCTAAATGAATTTATAGCACAGGCGGTAGAAAATCCGGTGAGAAAAAACTTGCTGACTGAATAAGCCCTTTCTTTATTTCCACGTCATTGATTGTATTTCATTTCATTTCAATTGTACAAATAGTAGATATTTCTAAAGGAAAATCACTGGAGATAGTTATAAAAATCTGATATCACACATTGACTGCGCCTCTTCTCATTAAATTAATTTACAGAGGAGTTTTATCAATAAAACTCTGAATTCAATTTTTTTTCTTAATCAATTTTAAAAGACTTTGTTTTAAAATATAAACTTAAAAAGAAAGTAGAGTATCAAATATTAACTAGTTTATTCTATTGTATAAAATATAACCCAGTGGATACATTGGTACATAAAAGTAGTTTGGTCTTCAACTGTTAGTGTGGAGTAGTAAATAATCTTTAATTTGTCAACGAATCAAGTGAATGAATTACTAAAAAGAGTAGGGGACTCCAGAAAGGGTCGGAGTTCATTGTGCTACACAAGTGCATTCCGAGTTATATTACATTTGTACTATACGACGCGCCCAATTTCTTCATACTATTCAGTTTAGATATCTCTAGATCATTTTCTATCATTATTAAATAATCTTTCATTTCTCTATTACAATCTTTTAAGACCCCACGCTCTAAACAATATTTATCCGCAATTTCTTATAAATTAATAATATCTTCATTAGAAATTTTGTGAAGAAAAAAAAAATGAACAAGTTTAATTATTATAAGTGATATTATAGGTATGTGATTTTAAGTGAATTACAGTGTGAGACAGTCTTCAAATTATCTAATCTTCCGAATAAAAGTGCCGAGTCTTCTAATGTACTATAATGCAATGAAATGTAATCGGAATACTAACACGTATGGTAGGAACTAAAAAGGTCGACATGTACTTTATACTTAACGCTGTCAGTGTCACCTTTTTTTTTTGGTGGAAATGAAAAAGCTGACTCGTTTGACACGATTGGTGATTAGTTGATTAACTGTTTTAGGATTACTTGTGAAACTGGTTCTTGTTTTTTTTTTAATATTAATATATTGGGACCATAAATAGATAAATAGATAAATTATTTGAGTGTTTTTATTTGCTAAATGGTGTGATTAGTAATGGAACGTTGATAAAGTAATTGCGATCAATGTTTTTTTTTTAAATATTTTATTTATGTGTCAGATAAATTTGAATTTCTATTTTTGTATTCAATATTATTATAGATATACAAAATATCCCTGACAAAATATCTCCGACTAAATATCCCTGCACGCATAAAAATTATTTGTTAGGACAACAAAAACAGGGATAACAAAAAAAAATATGCTGTGATAACAAATGAATTTACTTAGGGCCAGTTTTTCAATCCGAGATAAAATTTTATCCGAGATAAAAGTACTGCCATTATGATAAATAAAAAAATAAATAATTCAGCACAGTGATATTTCCTACGAGTAATTCTCCTTGAATTCAGTCACTTATTTTGAATTAAAATAAATAAACATTGGCCATACGTCACAGAAATATTCACCTCCAACTGTGACAACTTCCTGATTGTAAATAAATAAAATAAAAATTAGGAAAACGGATGACCCTGAAGGAGATCCCTGTAACTTCCCGCTAATTCCATACCTAAGCGCTTGAAATTGCACTTATAATGTTGTTGAGCTCTTCAAGCTCCAAATTAAAATTTATGTGTTATTTTGAGCTTTATGAGCTCAAAGAGATAACTGTTCTATGCTTTTGAGCCCTTCGAGCTCATATCTTGCGTTTGACATATCTATTATTAATTTATAATTGTGTTAATTGATTTAAAATAATTTAAATGACACAATAAGAGGTTATTATTATTTTTATGATATATTTATTTAAATAAACGAGCAAATTCATAGAGAATTAATTGAGAGCAATATCACGTCGCTGAATTATTTATTTATTTTTTTTTATTTTATTGGCGGCACTTTTATCTCGGATAAAATTTTATCCCGGATTGAAAAACTGGCCCTTACAATAACAAATCAACTAGTTTATTTAACAAGATCAACTAAGTTGCAATAACAAATGAGTTTTTACTGCTCTGAAGTTAATTATGTTGTCTTAACAAAATCGCTTTGTTATTATAATAAATTTTTTTGTTGCAATAACATAATAGTTTTCTTATCAATAAAATTTGTCTCTTGAACAAGCTATTCCGTTGCTTTAACAAATCGATTTGTTACTTCAACAAAACTATTTTTTTTTATTAATTGAAAGATTCGGTTACAATAACAAAATAATTTTGTTAAGTGAACATATGAATTACTTATTATAATCTATGGGTTTGTTAACACAACATATTATTTGTTATCCCTATATCAACATAACAATTTGTTATCAAAATTTATTTTTTGTTGCTCTAACAAAAAATTTTTCTGCGTGTGGGCAAAATATCCTCGAGATTAAACATGTTGGCCTATTTTTATATAAATTCCAAAACCAAGTGCGTTATTTAGTGTGTTGTTTTAAAATACATCAAGTGTGTACTATGCTTTGACGGCATAGAATTTTAACACACCATAAAACGTGTAAAAAGTAACTACAAAAAAGTATAGTTCGTTTACGGCTTTGTTTTGGCTCGAAAAAGATGTTTATTTATAATGTCATTTTACATTTTTCATATATAAGTAATAATAAACTTGAAAGAACTTAAACAGTATATTTATAAGTGGTTGTCTTCATAAGCAAAGCGTCTCTCCATTATCCGTAATTAAAATATTGCAAACAATTTAAATAAAGTTATATAATGACATTGCGCTGTCTACTGTAATCAATAAAAAATAATAATAAAACATTAATTCGTATTTTTAGATAAACACACAAATTTTGAACTCTTGATATTGCGCCATCTTCTGTTTTCATGTTTGTGCATTATAGTATGCTATAAAATAATATTTATAGCAGACAATAATTTATTTTTTTTAAATATTAAGTTTGTTTGATATTGATAGTCTCATAAATAATTTTTGTAATATTTCGTTTATTGATATTTGATTGCAGTGATATTTTGTTTTTTTTGAAAAGTAAGTTTATTAATTTCTCTCAAAATACATAACAGGTTTTCAATAAGTATAAAAATTACTTAAAATACTTTAACATAGCAATACTAAGTGTAATTTGTACTAACTGGCTACCAGTTGTAGATCTCGTTAGTTATAAATATTAAATAATATGATTTTCTTATTACATAGCTTTAAATAGAAACATTTTTATGTTAACATATGAGGTTCTTAAGATGTCAAAAATTATGGTATTAAAAATACATCTGACATTATAGTGATATTTTGTCGGGGATATTTAATTTGTCTGAGAATATTAACGCACGTAACCATTATTATTATTTTTTTTTTAAATATAAAGATTTTTTTTTACTTAATTTAGAAAATAAACTATTGAATAAAACTTGAACATTATTATTTATTTTCCGACAGTAAATTAATCAGATAAATTTTATTTATAAATACAAACTCGATCGTAAGTAGATACCCGATCCGAAGCGTACAATAATATAAACACTTGAAAAAAAAAAAAAAATAATAATAATAACCGCATGACTTGAAAAACAACGATAGTAACACAATCTTCCTTTATGATTCAGGATCTTAACACTCAGACAAAGCTATCTTATGAATTTGACACTAAAAAAAAATCTTTTGGTCTCAATTACAAAAAATTATTCAGTCGTAATCAAACTTTGACGCCTTCAACATCGTCTTCTAGCTAATACTATTTTCAATCAATTTTAATGAAGAGTTAAGAGATGAAATTGTGAGTGTTAAATGCATTGTGACTTCAAGATTTGTTAAACTTAGACCTTAAATATGAATTCTTTAATTTAAAATTTCAACAATGACTATTAAATAGTTGAATATAAAATAATTTGTTGCCAATATTACGCTTAGAACTGTTTGATAGTTTAGCTTATCAGTATCTGTGAATAGTATCCGTTTCCGGGCAGTGTAATCACCAAAATGAAGTCATCCGGGCTGTTGAAACTAGAAAACGGCCTTACGTTCGTCCTCGTCCTTGTTCTGACAACCGCGGAACCTTTACCATCGACAGAAAACATTTGCACCAGGATTGAAAAGTAATTATCATTAATTATCTATTTACTAATTTTATTACAAACAAAAATAACAATCAAATATTTTTTTAAGAGATTATTCACGCTTAGAAATTATAAAAAATATTTTTTTTCAATTTTAGTTTTGTATTATAAATTAAGTATGAAAATAGAAAATTTAATTTCAATTTTAGGTACAAATATTTTCAAAATTATACTATTAATGGTAATAGAAAAAAAATAAACGCGAAAAAATTTTTTAAATTCATATTATTTCATTAAAATTATTATAAAAAATCACACCCACAATTTTCGTGAAAATTAAGCACTCCTAAAATGATCGCTCCATTTATTATTACAAAAAAAAAATTTTCCGAGATTAAATTTTAATCAAACGTTTTCTTTTCATAAACTGTCTTTTTTTTTAATTCTAAAATTTTGTCGTAAAATTAAATAATTGTTTATTTACGATGCCTTTTTTTAGGCTTAATTGCATTATAAATTATTTTATAATTTTTCGTAATTTTACTAAAAGTTTTAAAATTGATTAATGTCTTTATGTGGGCAAAAAATAATTTTAAAAAATTTATGTAAGTATAAGTTATAAAAAAAAACTGTCTTTAGACTATTTTTTTAAAAATTAATCCAAAGGCTTGATAAATTTAATAAATATTTGATATTTTTATAAACAATTAAAGGCTCAAACTTTCATCAAAAATAAAAAATTTGTTATCAAGTCACTTTGTTAAAAATGAAATTTTAATAATTTTTTCTATTAATTTTTAGATCTATAAAAATTATAAAAATTAAAAATGACTACTATATTTATATAAATTTTCATATTAATAAATTAAAAAAATTTCAGAAAAAAATAGCTTTTTTGGTCTTCTATAAAAGAGCGTAATAAAACCTTAATTAAAAATTATCCTTACATTTTTCTCAGAACTTAAGACGCAATTAATTACAAGCAACTAAAACCGATTAACATAAAAATGAATACTTCTGTAATTTACGAGGGATAATTATTGCAATTTTAAAAAAAGTATCTTGTAATAATTGTTATTGCCTTTGAAAAATTCCTCTTACTTCTTAAAGCGTAAACGTTTCTTAAGCGGATGTCTAGCAGTCTTATATTTTATACATCGTACACATTTGCGACACATCCATCGGACATTAAAATTGAAGAAAGAAAATAGACAATAATAACAATACTTTCGAGTTCTATGATCAGATGGTTAATTGTTAGAATGAAGGTCGAATTAATTATAACTTGTTACTAGTCATTATTTAAATCTATTTCAATCAATCGGCACACTTAAATTAATTAGTATAAATTAGTATATCTTATTGTAGATTTTTTTTTTTAATTTATTTATTAATAATTATTAATTGCTATTTTTTAGTTACACGGTGACGGAAAGAGAACAGTACCAAGAACCAGTGGTGGTGACTACTGCTACATGGTGTGCAGAATTTCCATTTAGATGCGTGCGCAATCGTATTGAGATGAGAACTCAATTTAGAATTAAGGTACTAGTTACTTTATTATTCTTTTTTTCGTGACATTTTTTATAATAATTGCACCGAATGATGATTTGAGAAAGAAAATTTAATGCTCTGTTAATATTGTACTATTTTAAAGTTACAGCCATTTGAAAACAATAGTCAATTTATTATGATAAGTATTTAGGTTGCATTCAGAGAAACATAATTAAGAATTGACCAATTATCTTGTGAAATATTAAGGTTTTTAACGATATAAGCTCATCTCGATATTATACACATTGAGACCTTTCATTTGAGTACCCACATCAATTTTTCATATATTTATATATATATATATATATATATATATATATATATATATAT